AAAAGTGTGGATTATTGTAACCTGGATTAAAAGTGTGGATTATTGTAGTGAAGCCTTCGTGTTCAAACATCGACAGAGTCCTCATGTCAGTGACGATCATGTTCAGGATGTTTCAGTGAAGACAGCTGCTGCTGTGGTGTCCATGATGTCTGTCCATCATGAAGTGTTGTTGTTGTTGTTGTTTTCTGGAATGAGACAGTAAATATGTTTTATAGCATAATTTACAGCAACTCAAGAAATGCCTTGTTTCACTTACAGCGTTAGGTTCAGGCAAAAGTAGCTAAAAGAGCAATTAAACACACACACACACACACACACACATATATATAAAATACTTAATTACACACATTTGAGTAGATGTAATAAATTACTTTAATTCCTGTTTAAATGCAAATCATCCTGCCATACCTGCAGTGTCTTCAGACTTTGCCAGCAAATTAAAAGTTGAAGCTTAATCATTAAATCATTCTCTTTGTGTTAGATTTATTTATAAATCACATTTAAACACTGCTTGTTCCAATTAAATTAAATTAAAAGTAACACACACGTTCTCTATCACCGCCATTAATCAACAAACAAACAAACAAACAAACAAACAAGCAGCTTCATCTACCAGACAGACTGACGTTACGTTCTCTCACTTGGAAACAGAACAAAGTGTTAAATTGTAGAGACTCACCTGCAACACATGAAGAGTTGTATCAGCTGCAGCTCCTTCCTCCTCCTCCTAGTGACTCCAACATGTTTACGTTTATCTCCGTGGTTCTCTCGTGTCGTCAATTTTCAAAGCTGCATGTTTCAGTTTTTATCTTTGTGAAGAGCTCCCACACTTTGGAGGACTTGGGTCGAACAGTTTTCGCTGCATTGGTCATTTGTAAATTTTACTTATTTTCCTTTGAAAACAGACTCTGCTCTGCCTCCTCCCCCCTCGCTCTGTTCAACTCGCGCTGCAGAGGGTTTTTTTTTTTCAAACTTTATTCAGTCAGTCAGCATTGACAATGAACTGCAGGTGAACAAAACGGCTCTGCAGCGCCGTGAGAGACGCTTAACCGCGCAACACAACAACGCGATAATGACATTCGTTGCCAACGCTTTTAATCATCGATTTTTATCAATTTTATTGATTCGTTGTTGCAGCCCTAGCAGTATAGGGACCTCAAGTGCAGTGGGCAGTGTAGGGACCTCTGGCGCAGCGGGTGGCATAGGGACCTCATACACAACAGGTGGTGTAGGGACCTCAGGCGCTGCGTGTGGCATAGGGACCTCAGGTACAGCAGGTGGCGTAAGGACCTCTGGCGTTGCGGGTGGCATAGGGACCTTAGATGCTACTGGTGGCGTAGGGACCTCAGGAGCTGCAGATGGCATAAAAAACTCAGGTATTATAGAACGGGGCTTAGCCACTTCAGATACAGCAGCAAAGGGCTTCAGATATTGTGGCAGGGGGTGTAGCTGCTTCAGATACTGCAGCAGGGGGCGTAGCCACTTTGGGGACTGCAGCAGGGGGTGTGGCCACTTGGGAACTGCAGCAGGGTGCATACTCACTTCGGGACTACAGCTGGGGGCGTAGCCACTTTGGGGAAAGCAGCTGGAGGTATGGAACCCACTCTTGGAAGCGTTGAACTACAGCTGGAGGTGTGGAACTCTTTCAAGAATCGGGGCCCTCTGCGGACATAGAGACCTCCTTGGACATAGCATGTGCGATGTAGGGACCACCTCAGGAGCTACATGCGACATTGGATCCACCTCGGGAACTGCAGTAGTAGCGGGGAGACCCTCTGTAGTCGTCGAGGCATCTGTGGTCGTTGAGGCTTCTGTGGTCACTCTCTGCAGCAGACTCTGGACCCTCTGTAGCAGACGAGAAACTTACTGCTGACATGGGATTCTTTGAAGCCTTGAGACACACAGGGGTCTCAGGGACAACCAGTGACTCCAAACCCACAGAAGACTCAGAACCCGCAGAGGACGAAAAGTAATGAGGCATCCTCCAGGACCCTCCCGCAGACACCAGGGGAAGACGTGTCTGGTGGGTTCTGTGGTGGCACAGGTGAGTTAGAGGTGAGTGGAGCAATGATTTGTTAAATGGACTGTACTTCTGTAGCATTTTTCTATCTGATCAAGATACTCAAAGCTCTTTACAACACAATCTGTGTCCTCATTTACCCTTTCATAGAGCACTCTGCTACTTCTGTACAAAGAATAATCAGTGCTTTAGATCACATTCATACACCGATGGGACACACATCGAAGGCAATGAAGGGTTCATTGTCTTGCCCAGGGACACTTAGGCATGTGACTTCTGGTGGAATGGAACCCCCAACTCTCGCATTGGAGGACAACTGCTCTAACCACTCAGCCACAGATGTTCCTTAAATGTTTTTATTTTGTTGAGTATTTAGAAATACTCGGGGAGCTGAATGAGTCCAGACAGAGATAGTGAAAGTTTCTCAATGATGGAGTAAGTGGTGTCCTGATACTGTGGATGTGGGTTGTGTGCAGCGGAATTGAACAGTCTTTGGAGCTGTGTGTTTAAAGTGACGAGGTCAGCAGGAGACTTCTCTGTAGAGTTCACATAATCCACAACAGAAATGTCAGCTGATTCTGGCGGTGCAGCTTCAGGTGAGCAACAGCTCACCTGCTTTCTTGGTGAGTGAGGGGTTTTGTGCCCCTCCTCCTGCAAAACTTCCCACTGCTCCTCCGGCTGTGTATGGGACAGCTCAAGAAACACTGGGGTTGTAGAGGAGTGGGAGGCACACTTCTGGACCCTCTTGGCACCACAGGGAACAGGTGGCTCATGATCGCTGGCATCCAAGCTGTCTGGAGGTTCGGTAGAGCGATTCAGGGTCTGACATCCTCTTCTACGATGACGGCAGCGAGATGAAGCATGGAAAGGAACAGTGTGAGGAGCTGATTGTTCCGGTGACTCGGGTGACAGACTGGACTCACTGGGACTCGGAGCGGGAGGCGCTAGGAGATGGACATGCAGCATGCGTCTCTCCTCAAAAACCTCCATGAGAATCTCCTTCATACCTGGGGAATCACATAGTCCAAGGAGACGGAAAAATTCTTCCATCATGTCCTCTGCAGCTGCCCATCTCAACCTCAGATTGTAGGAGGAAGCCACCATGTCCACATAATGTCATGTTACCTTGCGGAGCTGCTGGTAATCCTCTGTAGTCAATCCCACAAGGAATGGACAGCCTGTTGGGTTGTCTTTTGAGCTGGTCATTCTGTCATAAGCTGAGGTTTTAATGTCAAACCCAATGGTACAGGCAGGACACTGAAGACTCCAGGATGCAAAATAAATACAATTTATTTAAATAAAGAAACACGCTGACGTGACAGCAGAAACAAATATTTAACAGGAGATCCTGGGAAACACAAGGAGTGAGGCAGGCATGAAGAGCTGACCAGCTGACGGGGAACAGTAGACGTAGACTTATATACAAATACTAACAAGACCTAAACACAAAACAGCTGTGAAGCGTCACAGGTGTGGGAAGCAGGGGCTAATCACCAAAGAGAGAGCAGGACAGAAACACCACACAAGAGGGGGCTAGACACCATGAAAACACAATCCCTACACTCACAGCAAAGAAAGAACGATGCATTCAGCGTTTTACTGAACTTTTCATAACCTAAATATAAATTGCAATATTTGTCAAATTGATCTAAAGACCTAAAACTTTCCTGTAAACAGCATGAATTTTAAAATGTGGTGTTAAAGCCTTTATATTATTAAAACATCTTCCACTTTACAAGCTTTCTCAAGAACCCTGCAGATGTTGGATGCTGCAGATGTTGGATGCTGTCTATCATGGTGCACTAAGATTCATAACTGGCTGTGATTATCGTACCCACCACTGCACCCAGTATCCACTGGTTAACTGGTCACCATTAACTCCACACAGACTCTCTCACTGGTACATCTTCATCTTTAAATCACTTCCTGGTCTGCTGCCTTCATACATCTCCTCCTACATGTCTCTGCGTGAGTGCAGCTACAGCGTGCGCTCTCAGGACATCATTACCTGCAGTGTTCCCTCAGTGAGGACTGAACTAGACAAAAGGACCTTCTCCTACTCCGCTCCTGTTTCCTGGAATATCTTGTAAAAAGATCTGAAGCTCTCGACCTTTGACCTCTCTAAGTGTCTTTAAGAATCTGTTGGACTCCTGGCAGGGACCAATGCAGACATGTTCCTGTTTTTAGTTTTATACATTCGCCTTAGAATCTAGCTGTTTTGCTACTTTTTCCTTTTGACTGTCCTTTTGGTTGCCATTGTATTTTAATTTGTAAAAAAAATAAAATCTGTATGCCTGTTTTATGACTGTCTGTTGTTCTCATTGTTGTCCACTGTTTTCATCATTCTTTGTTACAGAAATCAGGTCTCTCTTGTAAATGAGTCCTCGAGGCTCAGTGGGATTAAACTGTAGAAATAAAGGTTGAAGGAATGAAAAAAACAAGAACAACTTTATATTCCTGGTTGTACAAGTTACTTCATTAATGTGTCTGGAGTGGCACCTAGTGAGCGTTTGTACAAATGCTTTAATTCAGTCTTATGCTTGAACTGCCTCCTGAGCTTTCTCTGGTCATTTAAAAATATATATATTTAAGATTATGATGTTATGTCCAGTGCTTTACAAACATGCAGTAAGACAGACGGTAGTTTGGGTCTAAATTGTGTAAAAGAAACTAGAAAATGTGTAGGAAATGAAACTGCCAAATGTTTGCTGGCTAAAAACAGAAGTGTAGATTTTTCAGAATAGTTTAGTTTGTGAACAGGCTGCCAGTCAGTAGAAGCTTTACGATAAAATAAGCTTTAAACAGTAAATAACCAATGTTCAAAATGACTGTACCACTGATGCTGCAGAGAAGTTTCCAGCTTAGCAATGTATGCACTCTGTTCATGCAGCTTCCTTTAGAAAGACAAATAAATATTAAGTCCTCAAAACGTTTCATGACCTTAGAAACACTGATTATATGTAGTATATACTGGATAATAAAATCATATGGGCTCCACTCACTTTGTCATCTGCTGCCTCTCTTGCTTCATTTTGACAAAAAACTCCTCTAGTTTCCCATTCTGCAACAAGAAAAATGGCATTATTTCTAAAACTGGAAGTGTAACTATATTTATTGACATTCTATTGATTATTGCCCATTTTTAACGCATAAAATTAGGACAGAAAATAATTTGCTCATACTTTAAGCATAGGTAATGGTTTGCAATGTGAAGTCAAAAAGGTTTCAACAGAGCAAAACATATTTTTACACAAAATAAAATAAAACAAAATGTTACCTGACATGTAGAAACACTACATTCACAATAAAATACCAACAAGTACAACATAACAAAAGCTTGCCACCCTTTGCTGGTAGTACGTCAGCAGTCTTTTCTGATGTCTTGCCTGGAACGTTAGAACCTGAGGAAACAGAATCAAAGTCCTGAAGCGTCCCACGAAACATCAACAATCTTTAAAGGTTACTGCAGCGGACTGAAAAACTGAACAGGCTGTTGTTTAAAGCTGGGAGCTGAAACGATGCCAACTCAGCACAGTTTTTATTTTGGTTAGACTGGAATCAACAAAATGAACTAACTTTGCTGATTTCTGTCAGGTGTTTGGTGGCCACCACGTTGATGTCAGAAAACAAGGCCTTCACATCAGAGCTGCTCTGAAACAAGACAGTTCACCTCACTGTGATGACATATTTTAAATTCAGCCTCTTCTTAAGCATGCAGCATTTGGACCAATGAAAAAAGCTGCTTACTTTGTCAGACAGTGGTGATACTTGGCACTGGGTGCTGCATATTAAACATTTACCTTGCTTTCCTGGAAGACAAAAGTTGTAAGTACAGTTCAAACTGAAAGACTTACAGCAATAAAGTTCAGAATCCCTCTAGGCTTGAGCAACCCCTGGAAAAAATAACATCCCCAAGTGCTTCTGTCTGAGAACAAATCATAAATATGAGTTTAGCTTTGAGATCAAGCAGACTTTAAATAAGAAATGAGCCATTGGGAACTGACATGTGGCTTATGAATACAATGTGTGTTTCCTAAAGTGGACTGTCAAAGCCCTTCCTTTACCTTGTAGTCAATAATGAATTGTAACATTTAATATGAGAGTACTTAAGGTACACAGTGGTAGAGTTTGGCTAAATAAGAGTCAGTTCTGCAGCTGTATGAAAACAGCTGGGCCGCCTGTGTGTAATAAACCGCGTGGCCAGCAGGTGTCGCTGTTTGACCACACAGGTGAGCTGAACTGTTTTCACTGAGCATCAGGAGCGTGTCCCTGCTGCCGCAAGCATTTACTACCTTTCTGATCAATCAACCTTTATTTATACAAAAGATGGCAGACTCTTTCTGTTTCTCTACCTTTCTGGTAGCAGACACTACAGATGACATGGCCGCACGTAGTAACGGCCAGCTTCCGCTCCGGACTCGGGAGAAGAAAACAGGAATTGCAGCAGACCCAGTAAGACATCTGAAAACCTAAAAGTAAATAAATTAGATAATTTACTTTCTTATGATATACTGTTCATGTGGTAACAAATAAAGGTAGGTATCTACATTGCCATTTAACGTTTTACAGCTACTTATTTTATGCTTATTTATCATAAAAACTCGCTGAAGCAAAATGCTAGCATAAATGCTACTATTTCATATGATATTCCCACCAAACAAAAATAAAGTTTAATCAGTGCATTCATCGAAGTATTTTAACTTAACTTTACCTCAGTGTGAGTTTATAAGCTAAATGTATGCTCGAACTGTTAACCCAGGTTACGAAGTTTATGTTTAAAATTACTTATATCTGCAAGAAAAGCTCTAATTGTGTCCCCTTTTTTCCTCTGTTGCCAGATAGAAAAACACGAATTATCTTACTGTTATTTTGCAACAATTTATACCATTAAAACTATCATCTGTGTTGAGTGTCACTGGGGGGGGGGGGGGGGGGTGCAACAAAGAGGGAAAGTTTTTAGATCTAGGTGGTCGCCGAATCAGTGGGGGTCTGTGTGTTTGTTTTTGTTGTTGTTTT